ATTGAATTATTTAAAAATCAAATATTGACACAAAAACTCATGATATGAATGTGGAAAAGCATTCCAAAAAAATTCTAAATATAAAATCGAGTAAATTGGTCATCCAAAAGCAAATATTCTGTAAAATATGATTTAATATATTATATTTTATGAGGTTTCATATAATCTAAATACAAAATTAATTTGAGATTATGAATTATCTTTTTTATTTTCTTCTAATTAAATGTAATAATTTAATAAATTGATATGTTTAATTGTTTATCACCATATTTGCTGGTTTTTAAACATAACAATTTATATAATTTTATTAAATCTAATTATTTCATATCTATTAGATTGATAGATACTTTTACAGATTTTAAAATTATTATTATCAGAATTACAAATTTATAACTCTCCAATTTTATACTCAGATGAACAATCTTTATTGTTAATGATATTACCATCGTCACATTACTCTAGTAGTTTTAATGTACCATCTCCACAATTTGATATGTTTTCTCCCTATTCGAGATACATTTAAAGATTTTAAATTAATGTATTATGCTTAAAAGAAATTATATGAATTAGAGGATGCATCAATTATTATCCATTTGTGGTAATATCCTTTTCAAGTAGTGCACAAATTATTTGAGCAAAGTACACATTTCTCTCTACAATAAACACACATTATCAATAAGTTAAAATCCATTAACAGAGAATAAAATAATTTAGAGAATATTCAAGGCGATAACCATTCTATAGGTAATTATAATTCTTATTTAATTTACTAATAATTTTCTTGATAACTACATAAAGTTTTCATATCTTATTCTGTTCTTTTAAGTTTTTTTACAAAGGTATTCATTTTTATGATTGGTGTTTACAAATTAGAGTTTGGAAAACTAAGATTCAGGTATCTGTAAAATTTAAACTAAGAAAATTCATATGCATTGAAAAATCCCAAGAACCCTATAATTAGATTTAATAAATTATATTCTAGCATATGAATTAAGAAATTTAATCTTTCATTCGCTTTATTCAAATAATTTATCGACTTTCCTTTGAAATTCAAGAATAAATTCTATTTAATTTTCCAATCATGAATTCCACAAACAAAACTGTGATAATTAAGATGAAAAAAAATATGGAGTCAAAAAAGTTGAATCGTTCATGATCATTTCATTCAAAAAGAAAAAGAATAAAAGTGAATCAATCCTATTGCACTGTTTATCTCGAGTGTACATAAAAGTCAAATCATTCTTCATAAAATCTACTTACCATACTATTATTTCATGGTCAACCCTCCTGAAATAAGCTGATCCTCCTATTTATTAAATATTAAACATTAAACATCATTACAATGGTATTTGAATGGGTATGAGTAACTTCCACTCATTTTGGTAGATTTATTGCCAACTGATAATTTCTTTTAAACCACCACCAGAAATAAAATTTAATTACTACAAAAATTGGAAAAACAACGATCTTTGATTTAAAAATTCTGAAAAATTTAAGTTAAATTTTAAAGCCACCAATATCTAATTTTTGTCATACATAAGCGAATGATATGATAAAGGCATTTTTTGAAACTAGATAAAGATAAAGTTCATTAATGTTGCTATTTAAAATTTTATATCTCTAATAAATAATATTTTGTTAAATATTTTAAATTTATAATAAATTATTCTTATTGTTGTATTTCTATTAAGAAAAACAAACATTCTTTCTGATTCATTTGTCTTAATAGAATATTATTTACCAGTTTTTATAAGAAGTTAAATATTTTAAATGTTGAAACTAATTTGCATTCATACAAATTAATATTATGTAGCAAACTAATTTAAAATGTGATTTTCATTCATTATAAGAAATTAGTTGTGTTTGTTTAGAAAATCATGTATGTCATCGAAAATTGTGTGTTGAATGTGTTTTAGAACACAAAGCTAGTAGATAGAATATTTATACTATGTCTAAATTTGAAAAAGCTTTATAATCTGATTAGGGTTAAAAAGAATCAGATGAATTTAAATATTTATAAGATATTAAGAGGGCGCTCAAAGAAAAAACTGAGCCTAATTTTTTTAAATCATTTTTTGATGAAATTTATAATTCTATTATAATATAATTATAAGAAATAGAAAAATTTACATATAATATTATGGAATTGATTAGATAGTAAAAATCCTTCACTGAATATACAAATAAAGAACTTAATATTTTGATCAAAATAATTGAGGTTGGAGGTAAATAAAAATTTTTGTAAAACTCTCAAAATCAGATAAAATAGATTGAAAAATTTGTTTAAACTTTTGAAGAAGAAATGAAACAATTCATTAATAAATAAAATAAAAATTTAGAATAAATTAAGTAATAAAATAGTAGCTCATTTAAAGTATAATTTAGCTAAAACTATCTATAATTATAAACTCCTAAAAATGAAGATAATTTAATAGTTAAAGAATTTGGAAATCTTTATCAAAATGGTAAAAAAGTTGGAAAATGGATAGAAATTTTAAAACAACTTTCAAAGTAATAATTTTATCTAATTAATTTTAGAAATAATCAAGTTACTTTTTCAGGAACATATGAATGTGGTTTCAAGGTTGGAAGATGGAATATAAACTTTGCTAATTCAGTTATGTAAAATATAACTTTAAGATTAATAGTGGAGGAGGAGAATATTAAGAAATTTAGACTCTTTAGGAATATTATTCAGAATAATTGCATGAATTCTATGAGATAGATTGCATTTAATAAAGTACTTAAGGTTAAGAATTACAGGATTTCTCGAATTAATCAACACAAAATTTAGCTAATTAAGAAATTTAATACAAATACAAGAAAAAAGGCCGCTGGTAAGAACTACATGAATTGTTCTCCTAGTAATTTATATTATTAATAGAAGAGAATAGTAAGTAACTTATATTGGAAACTATGAGCAAGGAAGAAAAGTTGGAGAATGGTAAACATACTTATTTAAAAATTTGATGTAAATATTAAAATTAATTGGTAGAGGAAAAGAATTTTATAATGAGGAAGGATTAAAGCATGGATAATGGTCTGAAGTTTATTTTATTAATAATGAGTAAAATTTTAAAGATTAGTGTTATAGAAAATCTATTATTACTTTTAATGGAGAATATAAAAAAGGAGAAAAAATTGGATTATGGAACATTTTGGATCAAAAAAATTTAATGTAAATTAAGTTAAAACATAATTAGTGGTGGCGGAAAGTACGACAACGACGGATTAAAAAAAGGATAATGGAAAGAATTATTTGAATAATATTCTTAGTAAGTGTTTTCGTAAAATAATAGGAAAGCCTAGGTAACTTATTCAGGGGAATATAAAAATGGAAAAAAAGTTGGAGATTGGATAATAGAAAACAAAAAATCTCAAAATGGCAATTTTCATAAAAAATTTTCATATAATCAGGAAGGCTAAAAGATTGGTTATTGGATAGAGTTGAATTAAATTTATTAAGAGTATTATTTATGGGCTTAAATTTAAGTGATTTTTTGGTATTTTTTAGTGGGGATTATAAAAACGGTAAAAAAATAGGAGAATGGAAACTAAACAGTGTTATAAACAAAAATAATCAAATAATTTCCTAGTAATTGATTTAACAAAATTTTAAAGGGTAGCAGGAAAGTACGATGAAAATGGATTAAAAATTGGGAATTGGGTTGTAGTTGATAAGAAATATAGTTTGTATTCAATTTTAAGTAAATGTAGTAATAATCAAATCACTTATTCTGGGGTATATATAGAAGGTAAAAAAGTTGGAGAATGGGAAACTAGATATGAAAATAAAAAATACAAAAATAAATAATAAATTTTGTAATTTTTTTATTTTATAAAATAGTACTGGAATCTATAATAATGGTATTAAGGATGGTAAATGGATTGAATTAGATGAAGAATTTAAATCGTATTTTTTAGTTTCAATTATATAGAAAAAAATGGATTATTTATGAAGGAGAATATAGGAATGGATTGAAGTTTGGATTTTGGTATATATATTATAGAATAAAATAAAATAAAGAAAATATTAAGATGTATGAAAATTTAGAATAACTTTTTTAGTGATGGGGGTTTTTTCAATGAAAATGGGTTGAAAGATGGAATTTGGAATGAAATAAATTAAATTGGTTAAGGAGCCTTTATGAATTAAGTTAAAGTAAAATATTAAAATGGAATAAAACTATAATGATTGCTGATTAATTATCGAATATTTATATTTAATTTATCCTATAAAAAACAAAATATTAAGTCATATTCTTTTTTTTTTCATATATGTTGTTGAACTAAATATATATCTTTAGATGCCACACAATAAAACTACTAATTTTTTAAATCACTTTTTAAATTTCATAATTTTTTCCTTTAATTGAATTTATTACTAATGACCTTTTTTCACTATTTTTTTAAGCTCTTTTTCTTTGTCTAAATGGAAAATTTTTCAGTTGATAATTATAACAAATATTAATGGGCTGATGAATATTTGAACGATTCATAATCAGAGTTTGATTATCTCACAGATCTATTTAAGAATATTAAATTGCTCTTCATTATTTTATAAATATAAAAAGATTAGAACTACATGGACTATTAGATTTTTCCAATATTACTCTAACAAGTAAGAATATTAATTTGCCATCTTTCGTTATCATATTACATATAAAGTTTAAATCCAATAAGTGCTTAAAGTAATATAAGTTGATCATTTTGGTTGGCCAAAGTACTTATAATATTAATTGCAAATTGGTGTAAATAACAAAATTACTATAATTCCTAAAGAGCATTATTCAGAATATACTTATAATTAAGCTTATTAATAGTAAAATAAGACCCATTATGGGGCTATAGTACATTCTAAACTTCATTGGTGATTTACAGAAATTAAAGATAATAATTATTTATAATATCAACATACATACTAATTATTGCTTATTTTTATGTATAATCATTAGATAATTAAATTTAATTGATTCAATAATTTCGTTCTAAATTTGTCGCTGGATAGTATTTCTTCCAACAGGAGAATATTTCACTTTAGTACCTACTCCAGCAAAAGCAGTAAATACAACTATTTTATTATTGTCATCAAATCTCAATATTTATTAATTGCTTAAAATCCATCCATTATATCATATTTACATCCATTAAATCAAATTTTTCATTCGTAATGTGATTTTATTAAATTATTTATTTAAAGCTTCTAATCCATTGAAAGCAGAATACTTATATTAAAATTATTACCTATTTAATGATTTGAATTTGTTAATAATCATTATAAATAAGTGGAAGTATTATTTATTAATAAATAATATCAGAAAAAAGTAAAAAAGAATCCAAAATATATTTATAACCTAAAATGCCTTCACCATAATCCTTCATTATTCTCCTTACCAACATAAAGGTTAATTTAGAGAAATAAATGTAAATATAATTCTTGTCTTAACAGAGTTCTCTATTTAAGAGAAAAAAGCACAATTTAATTAAGTAAGTAGTTGGAAGATAACTAAACATAAAAAAGTTCAAAGATAGATAAAAGCTAATATAAGAATTAAAGAACTAACCAATAATTTAGATTTTTCTAGTAAGTATTTTAAACAATAAAGTCTTATGAAACAACAACTATTGGAAAATGATTTAGTTGTTGAAATGATCTCTAATCCTCAATATTTTATAACAATAATCTTGCTGATTATAGAGAACGAAAATTTGAAAATATTTTAATAATACTCTCTTAAATTTGAACCTGAATTGGTATTACTCTGATAGATAGAATATTCTAGAGAATTGAAAATAAAACGTTTAAAAGGATAGGATCAAAAAGAGTAAAATATTAAATTATTTATTGAAATTTAAATTAGGATAAATAAATAAAAAAATACGAGAGGTATATTATTAAATTTTATTTTAGTCTTAAATTTGCTATATCTATAGTTTCTTCTTTGTCTCTTTCTCTTACCATAAGGAATAATCTTTCAATTAATCCAAATAATTAATATATTTACAACGGCCTTTCGATGCTCATAAGTAAAGTGTTATGGTCTCTTCAGAACCAAGTATTGTTATAAACAGAGTTATTTGTTTTCTAAAGTTGCTTTATACAAGTTCAAGAAGAAGGTTTCAAATTGAAAGAACTGTTGCCATGGCAATTCTATTTAGTCTTTTTTACTTTATTCTTATTAGGATCTTCTTCGTTATTTTCCTCGTTTATACTGAAAATCAATAGAGAAAAGATTGAATAAATGATTCTTTTCTTAATGAAAAATTAAGCAAATATTTTTATGATAAGCATTCTTAATTTTAATTATAATTTATAATAAATTAATATAGATCTAAGAGAAGAAAACAAAAAAGAATTTGAACAGCAATTGATTGAGAAAACAATTTTATTATTACTGAAGAAAAATATGAATCGTAAATTTGATGAAAAATAGTCGGAAATATTAATTTTATAATAGGATGAAAATAGTAAGAATATTTAAAACAAATATATACATAGTAGTATAAGAATAATAACCATATATAAATATTTAAGTTTGAAAATTCCAATCTTTGTAAATTTATTTATATATCCAAGTTTTAACTGCGTGGTTATATCATCAAGGAATAAGGATATTTTTTGTTTTTATTTAAAAGTTATTATGTGTATGGCTTTAATAATTAAATTTCTTCATCCTAAGGTGAAGGCATTATAACGTTTGGTTTAGAAGTAAACAATTATTTGCCAATTTAGGCTCCTACTTATAAATCCAACAAAAGGGATGGTGGAATAATGAATTATTTTATGGATGGAAATGATTTAGTAACAAACTAAGGAAAAATATTGAAAAACTGTTTATTTTAGCTTGGAATTTTTTGAATCGCTCAGCCCTATCAGATAAGAAATTACCAACTTTAAAACCAATTCCATATTATGAATTCTTATTCATGAAGGAAAAAATGTCCCAGAATAAGGGTCTGACATTTGATCTTATATCTGACAAATGGATTAATTAATTTGGCATCCATTTCTTCATTTAGTATCCTATTAGCAAAACAAGATAAACATCCATTGTTATTGCATTCTAAAAATTTACTCTAGCATTATTAATAATCTTGATTTATTGAATCATCAAAATATCCAGATTGACATATACTTTAAGGTAATTAGATTCTACCACCTTTATTGTTATAAAAATAAATTGATCTATAAAAGTTTTAAAATTTTTAGAATCTAAAGTAGAAGTAGCCCATGTAAAGGCGCATACTAAATAAATCAAATCATGAAATACATTCTCATAGGATTGATTCCATTTCTCAATATCCATCAATACATTCACAATCATTTCCAACTCTATCTGGCTTACAAATTAAACAATTGGAAGTATGAATTTATAATTTATTTTATCACATTTAGGAGCACAGACTTATTTAAGTAAAATAGCTTACTTTAACAAGCAAATTATAGAATAATTATCAAATTTTTATTACATTTATCTTCATAATATCCATTCATACTATTGCAGATTGGTTGATTGATTCTTATCTAATTTGAACAAGTTATTATCCATTTTATTTATGGAAAGTTTACACTTGATATGACATCTTTAGCATTAGAGTTGTGTTCCATCATCAAAATATCCTTCTTTACAATTGCATTATCCAGATATAAGCATTCGATTTGAATTTAATTCTAATTTAAAACTTAAACATTAATCGAATTAATTAACACAGGTTTAAAATTTAATATGGGATTCTAATCATTAATATCTAAAAATCACTTTAACAAATAGAATCTTGATCTGAATAAAATTCCATAATACAAGGAAATTTATGAATTATTGATTCATCAACTCATCTGGAATTAGTACAAAGGTCAAAGGTCGAAATCTTTTTAGTAATTTAATTTGATTATACAAGTTAAATTAAATATTGAAATTATTTTAGAATCATAAGCATCACAACTTACTTGTACTATAATCAGCTGATCCAAAACAAGTTAAACATTCAATTGAGCATTCTCTATAATTTTAATATGATTATTTAAACAAATATTAGTATTTTAATCATAATAACCAGGTTAGCATATACATTTATCTCCTTATAGTATTCTTAATTATTCAATATCAAAGCAGGATAAGGAAGTTGAGGCAGAAACATAATTCGAGCATCATAATAGCCATCTAAACATAAACATTTATAATTTGCTAATATTCTTTAATAAACATCTAAGCAACTTAAACAATAAGTATTAATATTTTTACATGAAAAATGACCTTCTAAAAATAGTCAAAATTAGTTTGTCTCATAAAACCCATCATTAAACAAACATGTTTTTTGGTCCTATTCTAAGTTTCTGGTTGTCTATCGAAATAAAGTAGATTAATTATAATTAGAACATTCTTGATATAAATAAATATATAATTACATTTACATTATTTATTCAAAGAACTAAAGTAATATGATTGTTAACATTATCATTACTTAAATACCAATGATAAATGAAGGCTGGTATCACATGTTAAGCAATTATTAGAAAATAAAGTACAAGTTAAAAATTATTTTTCACATAATTCACAATTCTTTGTTGTTGGATCTTCAAAATATCCTTATAAACATTAACATATATTTCTTGGTCGTAATGTTCTATAATTATTAATTGAACATGTTAAACAATTAGTGTTAGATAAACTACAAGTTAAACAAGTTTTATGGCAAGACTTACATGAATTATCTACATTAGATTCAAAAATTCCATCAGTACAAACAAAATTATTATTTTTCAGCAATCGGAATTAACCACAAGAAATACAATTATTAATTGATTATGAACATGCTTAATAACTCTATTAACATTATTAACAAACCAGTTATTTCAGTATATCCAATTTAACAATCACATGTTTTAGTAATTAAGTTAAGTTCTCTATATTAATCACTATAACAAGATGTACAGTAATTTGAAGTAAATTCAAATATCACACACATTTGATTATATTTTAAGCAAAGTTACTAGCCTACCTCTGCACATTTGCAATTACTTTATATTTTTCTTGTATAAGGACAGGATTGACACTAGTAAGATTAATCTATACAACTTAGACATTAGTTATCACATTTTTAACACCACTATCAAAATATCCAAATAAACACTCACAAGTGTTATTATGAAATGATCGATTAAAATTAAAAATTTTGGAATCTACACATTATATACAAGAATTAGAATCTCCTGCACTACAATTTAAACATGAATAGTGGCATCTCTAGCAATTTATTATTCCAGAATCATAATATCCATAATTGCAATCACACACTAAAAGTTGTTCATTATAGCTTCTATTTGATTCAATTGAGCGAAATTCACATTTAGTTTGAATATCGTTGCATCTAACCTAAATAATGGCATTCTATAAATTATTTTTAGTATAAGATACTTTGAAAATTGTTATTTTACCCGTCGTCAAATTATTTTTAAATACATTAGCATTTTTTGAAACCAGAAATAAATATTATTCTAAAAATATTACA